AGGTTTCTGTCCAACACCCCAAATATGATGTATGATCAAAAATGTGGTTAACATTTACACATTTTTTAAAAAAATCATTACACGGAAAGGGACATTGCCATTCACCACCCTCAGAATAATCCCCCTGTCTCCAATACATGTATGCCACCATCCTTGCCACCTTCTGCAGCGGCGCTAGAAGCCCTCTTCCTGAGTGTCTTCGGTTGTGCTGTCATGGCTGCCCCAATGTCCCGGATCACTTTAAAACATTTACTTTTCATGGTCAGTTTCGCTTTCCAGAAGAGCCAAAATCCACACATGTCAGATCGGATGAATAAAGTGGATGAGGACATATTATGTTTTTATTTGACCAAAATTGTTGCAAATGTTTTGAATCAATTCAGCACAATAAGGCAACCATGGAAAGATGTGAAAGGGTACTTCTAGACCTGCTTTAGGAAGTGACAGGAGAGCCAAGGGCATAGCTCAGAGGCATGGGGCCTGCCGGACAAACGTAAGGTCCTGAGTTCGATTTCCATTCCCAGTACAAAAAGAAAGAAAAGAAAGTGGCAGAATGATAGGATAAGTGTGTATGGGGTGAGGTGAATATTTTGAAGGAGCTTAGTGGCAATGTGTCTTTTCCTGTAATAAATGTCTTATTTCCATTTAAATATAAGCATTCACCATAATTTTGATCATACAGTGTATATTCAGGGAGGACTTTCCCACTGGAGCTGCCCCATTGACTCTGCAGAGGCTACATAAGCACCAGACCACAGAACAGCTCCAGGCCAAGGTCAGAGAGGACAAGCTGCAGGTGCCGAGTGGCCGGCAGCCAGACAGCGCCACGTGGACGGGACCCGGGACCATCCTTCTCACCAGGTGTCTAAAACTGAAATAGAGGAAGAGTTAACAAAACTCAGGAAACAGATTTTCCCCACTTTACAAATTATTTTGTTTCTTCTATTGTTAAACATGCAAGCGAAAATCTGGAAGAAACAAAGGTATGTATACAAAACTGTTTGAAAGAAATTTTCAGAAATATATTTTTTTCTTGATGATTATTAGCTAAACAACTTAAACCAAGCTGTAAGAAAAAAAATCAGAGTAATTATTTTTTACTACCTGGGGCTACATAATAATTATGCAAATGGCAGGAAATTTGTCATTATGAGTAATCATAAGTGTATAAAATAATTTGATTAAGTAAAATACAGTTACCTTAGTCATCTGACTAATTTGACAAGAACTTAAAAAATGTCTCACATCTGTCTGCTTCTGGGCTGAATATGCAAAAACCCATCTTCAAAATGATGCTTCTTGAGGTGGAAAAAAATAATCCAGCAGCTTTACCTCACACATTAATTGCAAGCACACTGGAGGCTGTCTGACCAAAAATAAGACACTATAACGCAGTAAGATGCAGCCCTGTTAACCACATCCAGCCATCTATGTCATTACTTGGTCACCACACACCCAGGCACACTTTTGCACAGCTCAAAATAAGGAAATGCCCACCCCTACTTCATAAGGGCACCTGGCTGCCCCACCCTGGAGGCCACACTGGTCTGTTTTCAGTTTCATCCTGAGGAAATTCAAATGCACTTGTACATGGGCCTCTGTTGTAACCGTCCAGAGGTGTCAGCAGTTTTAATTTCCTGTTCACATCCTTATCTGCTCCGGTCCTCCGTAATTTGATCACACACACAAGCCTCTTTATGCAGGTCTGCCCTCTGTGAATGGCTTGAAACATCTCAGTGGGTTTCTACAAAGCCCAGATAAAATGCACACAAAATGACTTTCTCTCCACACAGTTCGCATATGCCCGCACCTCCTCCAGTCTGAGACTTATACAGATGTTACATCCTCAAAACTAGGTCAGTTCAGAATGCAGCCACCCAAAGGGAAGACACAACTACAAGACACATTGTATTCTCTGTCCCATGCACAGTGACTTTCAAACTGAGCCGGCCTCTCCCGCTGGAAAAATTATGTCACAGTCAAGTAATTTAAGTGACTGTGACAGAACATTCTTGTAGCTGTTGCCTTACCTGAAGCATGGTGTCTAATTAAGTCTTCTGCAATTGAAACAGGTTTCAGAATCTACAGCTGACCCATTGCGGGGATTATCTTATCTATATCATTTTATTAATAGCATCACCGAGTCTGGCTGTCAGTATCAGTGTCCTGCATCCCCCAGAAGGCCCCGCCACCTAAGTGAAAAGCTGCAGGTCCCCAGCGTAGCCTAAGAGTTAGTGGCTTTTTTTGTATGTACAGTTCTCCTTTGAGTTTCCTCCCTGGGCAGGTTCTTAAGGGAAAAACACATTCATATACACCAACTCCTCCTTTGTAAAGTTGTTTCTCAAATCATAGACAGCTTCCTGCTTCAACTCTGCACTTGGGAAGCCTAAGGCATTAGTGTCCTTAAGGACATTAGATAATCTAGCTTTTCAGAAAGAAAAAGGGAAAAGTGAAATTATATTTCCCAATCTTAAAAAAATAGCATCTTACAAGAGAAAATAAGGCAGCAATGTGGACTTTATAATGTCACTGGTGCTGAATTTGTAATCAACTTTCTCTCACAATATTCAATAGTGTTGGCAAAGTCCTGTGGTAAGACCGTAAGTTTTCTGAAAATACTTCATCAGAGCAGCAGGCTGGTTACCAGTGTAAAGATGACGTGTACACACACACACACACACACACACACGCGTGCGCGCCTTGCACACCTGGCACATGGACTCAGCCTTGTGATCACTTAAGATTTAGGGACTCAGATTTGCTAGGAAAATCATGGCTGATTAAACAGAAGATTTACCTTTCTGCAAAGATTCTGCAATCATTCCTTCTTGACCATAGAAAAGACTCTTATGGCTGAAAGAACAATAAACTTGCTTTTTCCACCTCCCAAAGAGAAGATGAAGAGGGAACTCCATGGTGGCCCAGGAGAATAAATCCCATAGCAAGCCAACTCAGACCACCCTGGTCACAGCCCTAAGAACCTGATGCCTTCATTCCTGGCCATCACCTTGTCCTCTTCTGGGCTTCCATCTGCCTTAGGCAAGGCACCTGTTGACTCCAGTTACCTCACCCCACCCCATCAGGCTTTCTATCCTCCAACGGCAGAAGTGCCAGGATGTCACCACCAGGTGGACTGAATTCCTCCTCTGCCCGCCACTGTTCTAGGGTCCAAGTCAGCCTTTCCTCTTCTGAGGCCAGCTCAGCCTGGAGAAGTCACCCACTCCCAGGGCACTAGGTATGTATGCTTAACTCTTTAAAAAGGAGCCAGGGCATTCATCTGGTTGAAGCACAGTTTCACTTCCTTCTAAAATCCTTGGATGAATTGCAAGAAAAAAATAACAAGCCCGTATCTTCATCATTCTTAGGATTAAAAGTTCTGTTGACGTTTACCACATATGAATAATATGCTCTCTGAAGCAAAAACTAGTCTGAGACAAACAAACTCTTAAACTGAAGGCAGCTGCTAATACATTGATTAGTTCCTTTTATAGATCCAGCTAGGCATTAGATACTTTACATCTGCTACAGTACAGATTCACATATATTTCTTAATGTGCTTTTTGTATCTTACTACCTGTCTAAATATTTTAAGTCAAATCTCTCAAGGAAGTGTCAATGAACTGACCCACAAAACAGTCCCTATCTACAAAACTTCAAAATCTACAGACATTATCTACATTTACAGAGTGTAACTATCGACAAAATGAGAATATTTCATAAACTAGAAAACAAAATGTGCCTTTGGTTCCAGAGTACACTCATAGCATACAAGTTTTGCATGCACACGACAGAGACAGGAACTAAAACCTTTCATCTCAGGAGCGGCAGAAATGCATGTTATTTCCAAGAGCCCTGAAATTCTGTGACGCCAAGAACAGAGCTGCGTTTGTGGAATCCCCTTCAAATCCACATAACTCATGTATTCAACCCCAGAGACCAAGCACGCAGGAGCTTGAGAGATTGTTTAGGAATGGTATAGAGCACCCAGCGTCTGGTCCTTTTTAACTTTACCCCAAGTCAACAACGAGCGATTTATAACATAAGGATGCATGTCTATCGCTGGCTATGTCTATCCAACAGCTGAAATCTTGTCTGATTCTATCTTCTTCAAACTTGCTGCCTAACACTCAAAGTCTATGACGTTTGATTCCAGTTTCAGGTCAATAGCCAAGTAATAAGTGAACACTATCAACTCTGAAACAACATTCCTGTTGAACAGGACAAGTCTGAAATGCAGGCTGTGGAACTCAGCCCTGGACCACCTGAACCCGGTAGGAGGAAGCAACAAAGTAGTCGCTGAACAGTGCTGAGTCATTACAAGCTGTTCCCTCTGACATGTTAGAGACCCATGGGCCCGATGAGCCCCGGTAAGCCCTTTCTGGAAGTAAATAAAATAGATACAAATTGTGCACGGTGATGCAACTCCCTTGTGGGCGAGGGACCACAGTGGGGAATTCAGCTGTAACAGTGGGCAGCAGGAACTACACAAACTCCAAGCAGCTCTCCAGGTACTCTAACTTTATCCCAGACGCGGAAGGCTGGCTCTGGGAATATGGGTGGGAACATTCCCCGCTGCCGCTGCGGCTCAGATCAGGGCCACACTCGGGAGTCTTTTACTCTAAGCTGTTAAATCCACCCCCTCGGTAATTGGCGGATGGAGAAAAAGCTCCGAGAAAATGATGCATAATGGATTTGTTCTCCAGGCGGATGGAATGGGGAGTAGAGGACGCAGGATGCTAACGGCTTTGCTTCCCATGTGCAGGTCACCTGAAAGCCGCGATGCCTCCTTCTCCAAGGAGGCTGGCGAACTCACCATCTGGCTCCGCTCTCAAGCGGGGAGAGAAGTGGTTGCACGCCCACCTGCCCGCCGCCAGCCTCTCCTCCTCTTCCCCGGGCGCCCCCAGCCCCGCCGGGCGCGCGCGCTGCTGCCGGCATCCACGGTCCCGCCTGCTCCGGGTTGGCTCGGCAGCCCCGGCCGGCAGCTCCCCCGCGGGGCGGCAGCCTCTGCACCACTCGCCAACCTCCGCGCCCGCCGGGCCGAGGTCACGCCCGCTGCCCCCTCCTCGTGCCAAGCGGCAGCCCGCGAGCCCGGCCGGCAGGGGTCCGCGGCGGAGTCCGCAGGGAGACTCACCAGGTAGGCGCCCACCGTGCCCTGCGCCAGCATCAAGGCGCACTCGGACACCAGGAAGATCTTGATGCTGGAAAAGCAGGACACCTTCTTTTTCTTCTTCTTGTTCCTCTGCGCCTCGTCCCCCTGCAGCTCGCCGCTCCGGCCGCCGCCCGACGAGCCGCCCGGCTTCTTGCCCTGCATCCTTGCCCCGCCGCCGCCGCCGCTTTCCCGCTCGCCCCGGGTGTCGCGGCCGCTGCCGGGCGGGGGTGCGCGGCGCGAGGCTGCGTGCTGTCCCCGCCCCGGGCCCGCGGCGGCCGCCCCCGTCCTGCCTGGCTGCCGGCGCCGAGCGCTGGAGCAAGCACAGCTCCTCGCCGCCGCCACCGCCGCGCGCGCCCCTGCTCCCCCTCCTCCCCCGCCCGCCCCGCGCCTCCTCCGCCTCCTCCCGCTCGCGCTGTGCCAATCACAGGGGCTCCTGCGCCGCCCGCGGACGCCGCCGCTGTCCTCGCCGCTGCCCTCGCCCGCTGTCCGCGCCCCCTCTGCCCCGCTCCGGGGCCCGGTCTCCGCGGCGCGCCCCAGACACCCCACTCCTTGCTGCCGGTGCGCCCCCGGGGAGGCGCGGAGGGGAGGGTTTGGGGCGCTCGGCGGGGCCGAAGAGGGCAGGTCCGGCCGCGGGGAGAACCGGAGAGGCGGAATATCCCAGCGGCGCCGGGGCCGCGAGTGGGGGCCGGGAGGGGTGGAGTGCGGGAGCAGCTGCCCGGCCCCTAGGTGGCGTTGTGGGGTACGCGCGCTGTGGTTACTCGGGCACCCAGGGCATGGGAGGCAGCGCGGGAGCTGGAACCTAGTGCAGTGGCGCCCGGGTTCCGGATGGCGAGGAGGGGTTGTTTCCAGGAAGAGAGAGAATACTGAGAATCCAGGAAGGGTGGGCGCGCGTGCTTCCCCTCGACCGGGGGATTCTGAGGCCAGATGTTGCACCCTGGAGCTCCGGGTGCTGCCAGAGGTCAGAGCTGCCCAGGGCTTCTCCCCACCGGGTCCCGGCCTCCACTTCCGAGCTCCGCGCCTCTAAAGGGGAGAAAGGAGATGAAACACAGCAAAGTGGAATCTTGATGAATCCATCAGGAGCGGTGCACACTGGGGGTCGCCCCAGCCACCAGATCCAGGCGACTGCACTGTCGCAGCGACCCCAGCAGAGGGCCTTGCCCAGCCCTTCAGCTGCCTGGAACACATCTGCGGGAGAGGGGAAGCCGTGGGGTGTGAGGGCATCTGTCAGTCACGGGCCTGCCCTGGTCTCCAGTCCTCTCCTGGCTCCGTGGTGCTGGCCGCTGTGCTGGGCCTTGGCCTGCGTGTCCTGCCATAGCAGGCGGGTCATGAGTCCTCACTCTCTGCATTTCCAACGAGTTTGGGCCACAGCACACGGTGGCTAGGATAGGCTAGCTCCCAGCCACATTGTGAAGCTCAGAGGGACCTGGACAGGTACCAGGGCACACTCAGCAGCTTCTGAGTGGACTGGGAAGCCGACTGATCCTTCAGAAAGCCTTTCCTTAATAATCCTGTCAACGAAAATGATTTAGCTTTCCTAGACTCCTGTGTTCCAATATCATCCCGGCACTCAGAGGCTGAGGCAGGAGGATCACAAATTCAAGCCCAATCTGGACAAATTAGAGACCCAGTGAAGTCCTCTCTCAAAAACTGAAAAAAAAAAAAAGTTTTAAGTGCATAGTAATTAACACTACCATAATTTTTACTTTCTCCGGAAGAACTTGAGTAAGAATAGACAGTGTAATGGTAGAGGTATTATTTGGCCACGCCATTTAGATATAAACTGCCTCACCTTTTTGTGGGTCCAGACATGATCTCACCGAGACTCGCTGTTGCTTTGTGATTTCCCCTCCCATCTATGCCACATCCTACCTGATTGCTCCACAGATCTTTTCCATGTTTCCACACCCTGACCTCACTGGCTGTGGCATTCCTGGCCGTCAGTCAGATCATCGGAACCCTAACCCACCACCTCCTTTATCCCCAGCCCCCATCATTCTTGGAGCCAGCTTTTGTATTGAGTCTTCTTCAGTCTTGGCTTGGTCCCTCCCCATCACTCTGGAATTGCAGGGGTTTCTCCTTATCCTAAGAGGACTTTTGATGACCTAGCTGTGTTTCCTGCCTCTGTCACTGTAAGGTGCAAAGCTACACTGAGATTTTCAGCTTCTCTCTGAACAGAGACCCTAGCACGGTTGAAATGTCACTCAGTGTATTAGTTGTGAAGCCTTTATCTCTTTACGTCATAATAATAGGAGCTAAAATTTATTTTGTTCTTGCTCTGGCCAGACACAGAGCATCTTAGTGCTTCACATTTGTCATTTAATCCTAGCAAAAGTCTTCTAAATTAAATACCATGATCAGCCCTGTTTTACAAATGAGAAAACTGGTGTCCGGAAAGTTTAACTTGACCAATGTCATTTAACCAGTAAGGGTTTCAAAGACTAGCCTTAGAATCAGGTTCTTAATAACTACTGACATGTTATCACATGTATCTCCTGGTGGCCTGCATGCTGGGGAGGGTGGATTCACAATGTTCTCTTTTTCTTTTACTATATCAGCAGAGACTCTGAAGTGGTAGTGACCAGTCCAGCGTCACACAGCTGAAATGGGACAGGATTTGAATAGAAGTCGAGCCCTCTATCTGGTATCACATTGCCTCATGTGTGTCTGAGAGGGAGGTAGGCTTTTATATCTCCAATTTAGCCATGCATTTTACATTGTAAAATTTAGCTATCTTTGGAGAAATCAAACACCTTTGGCCCCAGAGAGAAGATTCCAAATTAGGATTGTAAATTCTTCCTATAATTAACCATAAACAGCCATGCAAACAGTCCTGCTCCTGAAGCCTTAAGAATCATCACAGCTAGCCTAGAGGCAGTAAGGCTGCAGCCTCCCAGCAGCCAGAAGGAGGAAATGAACATGTCCAGTTCCCTTCCCCCTTTGCTAGCTGTCTTTACTCATAGTTCAGAGATCCAGGGATGCTAAGGGTTCAGGAGCAACAAGTGCTTCTATTTGACAGTCTCCTGGTTGGCTGTGCAAAAGGAGAAGCAAAAAAATAGTAATCATCTTTGTGTCTGCACCACGTACTAGTACTCAGCCTTGTTTGTCCTGTATTTCAACTGATCTCCACAAACAGGGAGCTCTGTGCTTATTCAACCCATGTACCCATCAGAAACAGCAACACATGGCTTTTCGGAGCACATAACTGGTAGCTGGCAGGAACTAAACCTGAACTGAACTCACCTTGAATTGGTGAGAGTGCCTAGGAGAAAGGGAACCTCCCAAGATATGCAATGTCCCCTCCAGTAAAGGGGACAACTGACATCTCTTGAAGAGCATGGCAAAAGGAGCTTAACTGCCACTGGACATCTGAACCAGGTGACGTTAAATACTGCCTTGGAGAAATGCTGCAACCACCCCTTCCAGGCTGGGGTCTGTTCCACCCCTCTGTCCCCCTAGTGGTGGGTGGCGAACTTGGAAATGCATCTGTGTTACCCAGTAAAGGCCTAGGGAGCTTTTGTATCATTTTGGCCTCTAGTTATCTTTGAGCTCAATAACTTTTCAGAGTTAGACAAATATATTGCTAGCTAAGCCTTCCTTATTTCACTGATGCCTTCTTCATTGGCTACTTAAAGTATTCCAAACATTCAGAATCTTGAAATCCAATCTAGGGAAGCCAATAGAAGATTGGGTGACAGGGCAAGATAAACTGCCTTTTGCTTCCTAAAGTATTAATAAGCAATTAGTACATGTTCAGGGATCAGAATGTGAAGAACTTTCCTCCCCCACTTTAGAAAAGACCATGAGTTTATTTCTGTAGGAGTGAAGTGGGTTAACTTCGTGGTCACTGCAAGGAGAAAAAGTGACAATACCTTCCACTGTTGCTGGGCTGTGGCAAGACTTCACAGCAAGTGGCCTCAGTGTAATTCAACACAATGAGAAACTGTTGTTCAAGTAATTCGCATGAACCATCTTCTGCCAGCTCCAATTTTATTCACCAGCAAATACGGCGTTGAAAAATAAATGCAAAGCATGATTCTGATTGTTACTGGGATGGAAAATAGATGTTTAGATTCTCACCCCGTGGATGGGATTTTTCTCTCTTTTTCCAAAATGCATCAATCATATACTGTGTCCAGCCAAGGATAGAATTGAGGCTAGGCCAGCTTCTCTGGCTTGAAACTAATATTTGGGCTGAGTGGAAGCTTATTTCTTTCCCTTTGAGTTTTGCTCTTCCCACCTCCATTTCCCAATTAGCCTGGTCCATATGCCTTTCTACCGTACAGCTCAGCATCTCAACATTTTAAGCTCCCTGTTTTAAATTATCTCTCTTAATTTGAACATGTTCTAAAGCTCAGCAATAAAAGGATAAACATCAGTGGGAATGCAATTTAAAAAAAAATGTTGAATCCAAAATTCAAGTAGAAAAAGAACATGAGCAAAGAAAGAACATGAGTGGATATTGAAGGAATTTGTATAACTAGGGTTTGGGAATGGGTTATATTTATGGACAGTTAGTTTTGGGGCAGAAGACAGAATAAAAGTAATAAACATCTACCAGTATGAGTGCATCTCGGGAGCTCATCATTTCCTTTCTATTGATATGTATATACAAAGAATTTGTTTCCCCAGTAGGCTCTCAAGGGTAGAGGGGGTGTTTCACTTTAAAAATAAAGGATCAATTGTCCCCTTGTGGTGCCTACCAGGCCTCCTGCCAAGTTGCTCAGGATAACAATGCAAAGATGTCGAGGTTTGTAGAAAACTTCCTTCCAAGCATTTTCCCCAGGGACTCACTTCTGTGTCCTAGACTTCTCTGTGACTGTGCACACCCCTTCCTGCAGCAGAAATTGTCCCCATCAGCCCTGCTCCTGACACGATGCATCTCCCCAGCTATCTCTGAGGGAGACTTGCCTCGCTTTGCTCCTAGCATCTGAAAATACACCCAAACCTTTGTATTTTCGGGATGAAAGCTGATACTAACTGCAGGCAGAGGAGATGTGAGCTCGTGCTGAAAATGTGCTGAAGGCCCCTGGCATCTCCAACAAAGGAAATATGAGGTGGCAAGGTTGGGCATATGCCAATCAATACTCCATGGGTTCCAGGCTTTGCCACAGCTATCTGCCCTCCTAAGAAGTGGTAAACACCTGGCCCAGGTACCCCAGGTGGGCATGATGTATTAACCGTGGGGCTAGTCAAAGAAAAAAAAAAAAGAGTTCCTAAAGACATAAGGAAAAATCCACAAGGCTTAGTGTGTCCGAACAGGAGTCTGATCCACTCTTATGTGAGGGAGAAGAAACCCCTCTTCT